TGAGTGTTTCCCTGCTGCAAAAATAATTCAACTAGATTCCAAGTCACCAGAAAATCCCCCTATGCCCTGAACAAAGTTACTGTTAGTTCTTGCTTTTACAGCATTTCCATACTGATGTTTTTGCATCTATTTTGGTTTATTCAGAACATTAGCAATTTCTGGATGGCTTCTGTGTGACCTTTAGGCCTGAGCTAGTCTGTCTTTCTTCATTAAATCGTCACTCTCAGTGTTCTACATCTTATATCTCTCCTCTCTGTGCCCTCTCAGTGCCCCTGTCACTCTCTGGTCCCCCTTGCCAGTCTCCAGCTCTGCCTCTATTCCACATTACTCTGCAGGGCAGCAGTGTCTGAAGTTTTGTGACTCAGTCAAGGAGCAGTAAGTACTTTTCTCCAAAACACAGTGTGGTGAGTGTACTGTGGCTGAGGCCAAACTGCCCCCAGCCCCTCTCACACTCCCTGCTCAGCAGGGCAGGGGAGGGAAGAACAACCTTGTGAGGTGAAGGCAGGGAGGTGATCCCTGACCATTATGGGCAAAACAGTCTTGACTTGGGGAAAAGAAATTTAATTTATTACCCATTAAAATAGATTTGGATAGTGAGAAAGACCACTGAATTGCAACACCACCCTCTGGCTCCCAGCTCAGCTTCATTCCCCCATCCCTGCATGCCCCGAGCAGGGCAGGGGGATGGGGCTGTGGTTGGTCTGTGGCAGCTCCTCTCTGCCACTCCTGTGGGTGACAATTCCACGAGGAGAACGCATGAGCTCCCCAGGGGACACAGTTGCTGCAGGGAATGAACAGGCCCTGCTCCCCTGAGCACTCCTGTGGGCTGTGGGGATCCAACCCTGCAGCACCTCCTCCCTGCCGGGCCCACTGTCACTGTCCCCACACCCCTGGGAGCTGTGGCCCTTTGGCCCCGGGTTCGGTGTCCCCAGGGCAGGGCCAGGGCGCTGAGGGGGCTCTGCAAGACCTGAGGGGGCCCCTCACAGTGGCCCACACAGGCTCCATACGACCTGTGTCTGTACAAAAGGGAGCAGTGAAAACCCAGGGGAGTGTGTGTGGGGGGTGGTTAGGGCTTTTTCCCTTTAATTCACCTTGGCAGCAGAGCCACGTCACCATTAGAAGCTCTCCTGGCGCTGAGGGACTCATCCAGTCCCACAGTGTGGGAGGGACTCACCATCACCAACTGGGAAAATGCCCCTGATATAGAAACCTCTAAAGAGTCCGGTTTTGGGGAGCAGGGAAGAGCTTTGTTCCTCTCACTGTTTGGGGTGGGTATGGTGAAGACCCAGAAATAAAATCCTCTGCTGAGACTCAGCCCAGCCCTCAGCCAGCAGCTGAGTTTTTTTTTTTCCTTTTCCTTTCTTGTAATAGAAGAAGTGTAGTTATGACTTTATCCAGTTCTGCTCGACTTCTGGAATCCTCCAGTAGATTTAATGGCACTTCAAACTAATAGGTTCTGTGGTACACTGAAAGATTTCAAAAAAATGCATTGCTAAGAATGACCATAAACTCCTAGGAAAGTTTTGGAGCTGTGGGTGTGCCCCAGGGTCCTACCCTGTGCTGTCCAGCCTGGGCAAGTGCTCTTGAGGTCCTGATTGTCACTGTTTTTGCATGTCCCCCATCTCTCTCACTCAGGGAGTCCCTGAGGCTGTGCGCATTCCCTGTGAGTCTGAGACAGTCTGAGTTTTTAGGGTTTTGCGCTTTCAGTCTAGAAAATGTCGGTATTTCCCCTTTGTGATACCCTTTAGATGGATCCCTACATGGATAAATTCATTCCCACCCTACAGTGAAAGTGTAGAGTCAAACACACTTTTTGCAAAACCTTTTTCACTCCTCCCCTGGTGCAAATTGGAAGAGTAATGCTGTGGTAATGGGGGAAGCTCCTCAGTGAGACCTTCACAGAATCACAGAATATTCTGAGCTGGAAAGGACCCACAAGAATCATCCACTCCAACCCCTGGCCCTGCACAGACACCCCAACAATCCCACCCTGTACCTGAGAGCGTTGTCCAAACCCTCCTGGAGCTCTGGCAGCCTTGGGGCTGTGCCCACTGCCCTGGGGAGCCTGTTCAGTGCCAACCACCCTCTGGGGAAAGAACTTCTTCCTAATATCCAGCCTAAACCTCTCCTGACACAGCTCCAGCCATTCCCTGGGTTCCTATTGCCATTCCTGGGCTACCTTGAGTAAGCATCACGGGAATTCTGTGCTAGCTTTGCTCTTTGCTTGGGTACCCTGCCAGGAATGATACAGGAACAAGAGTTATCAACGTTGCACTTCAAATTTCTTCCAAGGACAGTTTCATTTTTGAGGGGAAACTGATTTTAGGGCTCCTGTGCTCCCCACAGTGATGCACCAGACTCATGCAGTGTAACTAAAGAGCCAGAATTTTATCTGTGGACCTTTTTAGCAGCACTGTGTTATTTCAGTGTTGTCATTTGCAGTTGAATCTGTGTGAATAGATGGAAATGACCCGTTGCCTGTCCACGTTAAGTGTTCTCATGTGTGCTTGTGTGTAACTTTAGGTTCTTAAAAGAACACAATGGGCACATTTCCATGCTTAATTTTTTGAATTTAACACAGATTGATGGGGTTTGGAATAAAATGTAAACCCTCAACAGTTTGGCACGTGGGGAAACTCAACTTGGAGAAAAAGAAAGGAAAATATGGGAAGCTTTTAAATCTTGGACTTATTTCTAAGTTTGCTGTCTGGTATACACAGTTCACTTTGTTCCTGCAGAATTTAAGGCTCAGATATCTTGGTCAAATTCTCTTACTCCTTGTAAATTGTGTCTAGAAAAATGACACCTGCTGGGTTTTTCTTCTCTTCTTTGTAAATAGCTGGAATTCATGATGTAGAAGAATTATAAAACTGAGCTGTTATGATTAGTTAGCAAATAACTGATGTGTAAAAATTGTGTACAAAATAAGTTGAAGTTCTAAAAATAAAATCTGAGACTAGGAAAAAGTTCTTAATGCCCCAGTTGCACTAAGAGTTTTTCCATCATTGAGCAGATGTTGACAAAAGACCAAGTCAAGGAAACTTGATCCATTTTCCTCTGGTTGGTTAAACTGTAAACTTGGGACCATAAAATTACAGGACACAGTCCTAGATAAGATCAGTGAGTTATATATGAAGTGTAAGACTTCTTGAATTCGTTATCCTCCCCTCTGCCTCCAAAAAATCTATTTTTATAGATACCGAGATCTATTAGATCTGACTGATAAACCATTCCATTTGAAATAAAAATAATTTTACTGGAAATGTTCTGGCTGAGCTGTGGAATATTTAGTTTATTTATTAAATTGTAAGTGTCTGACAAATAGCTCTAGTCCTTCTGTTACATTTTCTTTGAGCTGAGGGTAGGCCTGTGCCATTTTTTGCAGTTGTGCTCATGCATTGCAACTCAGTTGTGTGTTGGAACCTTTAGGTCCATACACTTTGTGTCCTTTCTTTGATCTGACTGATAGAGAGCACCCAGAGGTGCCTTATATAGTGAGGGGATTAAGGGATGAAGGGGAAGTGTCACACACACACAGTTTGCTCTGGCAGGGAGAAAAGATGATTGTAAAGGGTGAGGAGATTTAGTGTGGCCCTTCAGTGAACCTGGGACAGAACAGCAGTGGCACTGTGGTGAGCACAGTGGGGATGTACATCAGCACAAGTGTGTTTTGCTTGCATGCACCATTAAAAGAGCAACTGTGTGAATTTTTGTGTGTGGAAATAGAAGAGAGAGAAGAAAGAGGGGGGAAAAAGGTGATGGAGAGTGTTCATGGAGAAGGAACCTTTGGTCTCCAGTCAGGGAATGGAGATGAATGAATGTCTACTCCTGTACAGTCTGAATAGAACTTACTATGATCATATTAGTAATTAGAATAACTTAGAAGGAGTTGTTTGGTGTTTGTTATATGAATATTGATGAGTGTAGTAGGTGTCTCATAAAATACTTCATTAGATACCTTGCCCAAGTATTTGGTCTTCATTTACCTCTGCTGCCAGTATTTATGTATGTGATTTTAGATCTAAATTTCTGAAAGGGACTTCTTTCCAGAATTGGTCTCTGGAGTAACCAGTCTTCACAGGAGGTTAGTTCAAATGAAGCATCAACAAGGCTAGAGGAAAATTTTAATATGTTCAAGCAAAACATATGGAAAGATACATTAAAACATGCATTTTCAGCATTAAAGTAGATGTGAGTCATGTATGTGTATATATGTGTATATGCGCTCACGGACATAAGTAATGAATATAGATTGTAAATGCTTTCCTCAGTACACTGCTGTGCAATGTGTTGACCTGCACAGTCCACAGCATAAGAGAAAGCAGATGTGTTCTCAATTCTAATGAAAATACAGTTTGTAGGGCTTTTTTTGGTACTTTTTATTTATTACAATGCCAGTAAAGTTCATTAAACCTGGCTTGAAAGGCAAAAGCAATTTGATAGCTATTAAGTAGATCATGTTGTTTCATGAACATGGAGGTTAGTCAAGAATTGTTTATAGTACCAGGCAATGTGGTTAGGGGCTAGCCCAGCAAAAAAAGGCTTCTCTGGAGTGATGACTTCTTCTTCCCCTGGGGAGACTTCCATGGATCTCAGAATCCACGTTACACTGTGCTGCAATGAGGGAGGGTTTGACTGTGTGTGCTGCAACGTGATGGCAACTTTAACAACTTCACCTCTGGCAGAAATGCCTTGAGGGGTCTAAAAGCTTCCCGAATGAAGGTCTTAAACTGTGGTTTCCCTGGGACAGGAGTGTTCCCCCTTCCTGCCTGCAGCACCTGGACCTCACACCCTCCCTGTGGTGCAGGAGGGTCTGCATTCACGGCGTGGCTGAGGTCCTGCCCTGGCACAGGGTCACACGGTGACAGTGGCACTGCTGAGAGCACCACGTAAATGCTGCTTTGCGTGGACCTGGGGCTGGGCTAAAGGAGAGCAGTGGACAAGGGCACCTGCCTGGACCAGGCTAAACTCCTTCTCTCTTTGCTTTCTCTCTGCTGCAGCTCAAGCCAGGTCAGAACAGCTGCCGAGACAGTGACAGTGAGAGCGCGAGCGGGGAGTCCAAGGGTTTCCATCGAAGTAGCTCCCGGGAAAGACTCAGCGACGTGAGTATGACCCCTGCAGCTACACACTGCTCTGGGCAACCCTGCTGGAGTGCTCTGAGCACTCTAAGTCATAACATGGTTTAGTTCCTGGGCTGGTTTGTTGCTAAAACCTCCTTCTTTTGGGGTTTCTGGAGAGGAAGAGGTAACTTAATCTCCGGCCACAGTTAAGAAAACTTCTCAAAGTTTGATACAATGTCTTTCTGTGTGCAAATGCTCGTTACTATTGAAACATTCGAAGGCCATTTAACGAAGTAAAAATGTTCTGCATACTTGAGAAGTGAGGTGGCCTCTTTTTACCCCGACTGGGGAAGGAAAAGAATGTATTTCTTTGGGCTAAATACTGTCTTTATGAAAAGTATTAGAATGTCTAGAGAGACTCAGCTAACTTATATATAATGAATTGATATAACATGGCCAACAATAGCATAAGCTCTGCCTTTATTGCTCTACCTAAAGTGTTGTGGAAGGGCCTGAGATGGCAGCTCTGTGGAGTGTTTCTCTCCACTGGAGAATGCTGGTCATTCACGGGGTTACACACACGAGCTATTCCGACAGAGGAATGGCTACAGAAATCTCTCTGTTGCTGCAATCAGATTATTATTATTTGTTATGTGTACCATCACAATCCTTGAGTGTTTTATTCATGGTTCTGAGTCCTCTGTGCTACATGCTTTACAACACAGAATATAAAGACAGCCCTGTCCCCAAGGAGTATCTAAATTGGGGATTTTGTAGGTCAGATCCTTGGCTGGTAAAAGCATGGATGGCTACATTAGTCAGCCCAATTTGTATCAGCCAGCAATCTGGCCCTACTCTCAACTAACCCACATTTTGGAAATGGGGATTTTATCGATAGCATGTCCACGTAGATTTGGATGACAGATACCAGATGGTGTCCTCTATAGGCCAATCCAATAAAACTGAACTGAGCAGGCATTAAAAGAAATACCTTTGTAAAGGATACATTTCGTGGTGCGAATTCAAGCCTCGAGGCACACAGCTAGCAATTTCTGCTGAATTGTGCATATCACTGGAACAGATGCCGGGGTTTTTTTGTTTTTTTTCCTGTGAAAGTGTGAAATCTGTAGCACTCTCTTTCCATGTCCCTTTGTCACCTTATTGTAGAGGTCCATTTCTTCCCCAGAGCCAACCTTTATGGGAACAGTCAGCTAAACTCTTCAGATCCTGCCCTTCGTAGCTGTCAGGTGAGGTCAGTCTGAGGGCTCCTTGGAAGAGCAGATTGAAACCAGAGGAGATAGTGAGTAAATGTTCTGTACAGGTAGCAGTGGATGGCAGCCTGTCACCATTGCCATCCTTTGCCTCTGAGCCCCATGGCAGCTGAGAAGTCACTGCAATGAACTCCACAATTACACAGCACCTTCCAGCGAAAAAATTTCACAGCTCCTTACAAACATGGTTTTAATTTAGCCTTGTTGCTCCCTCGCAGTGTGCTGAGCGGAGAGCTCAGAGGCTTATTGAGCTTCCCAGCAGCTCACAGCACCGCAGTGCCAGACCTGGCAGGGAGAGCAGAGTCCTGGTTCCCCCTCCACCCATCCAATCCACTTTTTCTCCAATGTTTTTACAATACTTTTCCTTTGTCTTGGCACTGTGGCAAATTGAAAGGAAGCAGAGAGCAAATCCAACCTCCCCAGAGCATCTGAGAGAGGACGTAGGGGTTCACGGGATGCTCAAAAGGAACGTTACGTAAATATGTGTGAAGATGTACATATGAAAATGTTATACCTAGGTTATGTTTTGCTTAATAAGGAAAGTTCCTTTATGCTTTGATAATTCATTGCAGTTCAAGCATGTCTGTCTGGTCTGGTGTGACCAGTTCAGCTGAGATTTGAAAAAGATGCATGAGATAGTTTTCACCTTACCTGGGCCTGTGGTGGCCTTTCCCAGCCCCCTTCAGTTCAGAGCAGTGCATCCCATTCTCTCCCAAAGCCAAACACCCCGTGTGTTGAAATGACAGGGCCTGACAAAGTGCCAGTGATGCCTCCACTTTCACATGTGGGGGAGCCTGCCCTGAGCTTGATCTTGAACACAAAGATGCTTCAAGAGCTTAATAAGGTTATTTTAAATAATATCTTTTGAAGAAGAGTTGTCTAATGATACCCACCAATTACTGTCCAGAAAACGCATCAGACAACAGAGTAAGCTTTCTCTGAAGATTTGTTTCTGTTTTCACAACTGTTTTTTCAGAAAAAATACTTAAAAAGTTGTGCACCCAACAGAAGATAGAACCAAAATATAAAACATGGCGGGCAGAGTAACCTTGAGGTCGGAAAGCAAATTTTGACCATGAAATATAATGAATCTCCACTAATGTAGCCTGACAGCATTGTAAGATTAAGCTCCTGTATAGAAATGTGGATAATGAATGAAGTGCATATACTGCAGGCAGATGATCATTTTCTGATCCCCAGTTGTAAGCAGGCTGGTGAAACAGCAGTGTTGGAGCTTCATGGGCCTTAATGTGGGGCCTAAGTGATGGTTTAGTGACAGATGCAGAATGAGGGAGATGGGATAATGAATATCCAGTTGCAAACTGACACATCAGTGCCTTCATTCTCTCTCCTGTCAGGTATCTTTCAACTCTGCCTATTGTAACTGTACCTGCAGTCCTTGGATAATGCAGAGTGATGCAAAGTGTGTTTACAAGGAGTGACTCCTTTCCAGGCTAATGAGATCCAAGCCGGTAATTTGCAGCAATTGTGAGAGGTGGGCAGAAATGAAAAGAAGATAATTCAGTGAAAAGACCATGTTAAACAGGAGACTTTTCTCCTAATGAGGCTTGAGATAGCATCAGGCAGCAGGAAGAGGAATATCCTCTGTTCTTGTCAGGTGCAATGCAGTGAGACTGATTTCCATCAACTCCTTTCTTTGTCCTCATCTTGCACATGTGTGCCCAGGCACACACCCCTCTGTGAGAGAACATAATTAGCAGAGAATTTGACCTCTGCTAGATTAGGGATAATGATTGCTCGAATGCTCCAGTGCAGGCATGTGGCAGTGCCCTGATCCAGCTCCCTGTCTGAATTTCATAAACCCATGGCTCTCTTTTTTTTTTTTTTTTTTTTGGAATGGCAACTTGTTTTTTCCTTTATGGACAGAGGTAGCTCCAGGGGCCTAAAAGAGAAATTGGAGAGCTGCTCCTCCTGTATATATAGGGTGCTGTAGTCAGTTTAATCTCATCAAAATTTTGCCAGTAGTAGAATTCATTTTGTTGAGATCTTGCTTGGAGACAAGATGGCAGTGCTTTCTCTTTTACTCAGCTTGGAGCTCAGTCAACTTGTTTTCCGTATCTTTCTGAATGTATTTATTTTTAATTGAGTCTTCCCTCTTTGGAATACTCTTTTGTCATGTTTCACAGAACAGCCAGGAGATTTACTTGAGGAAAACATGAGAATTACATCTAACCTGGGTGGCGAATGCACTGAGTATTCAGGGGTTCAGCCACCTCCGTGCTGATCAAAAATCAAAGCACCTGATTCCTTTGGTGCACATTCCTAAATTCTTGATCTGTCTGATCTCACCCTGCCTGCTGCTTCTGGTGCTGGTTGCAGGCTTTCAGTGTGGGGATGAGCAGCAGAAGCCTCTCACGTGGCCACGGGCTGGGAGGCAGCACATCATCCACTCTTGCTGCACAGCAGAAGCCTGGAGCGCCTGGACTCTGCTTGCTTTGCTGAACAAGGAATCACAAACCAGAAGAAACAGTTGGCACCTTTCTGTCTGGAATGCTTTTCCAATTCCTGAACAGGGAGTGGGACAGGACTCTTGCCATTTGTCCCCTATGTGAAAGGTCTCATCCTGGGCTCGCATCCAAGCTGATGCGCTCTTTGTGAGTGCTTCCCTTTCCACAGTGCTTTGTGTGCTCCTGCTGCCTTGTGGGCTTTGAGAGTAGCTCACAGTGAGGTATCACTGAGGGTGAAGTCCTGAAGGCCCCTGTCCACCAGGCCTGTCGCTCTTTGCTTCGTGAAGAAACGTACCTACCCCCCCAGCAGATCAACCCTGCGGGCAGCTCACGGTTTCAGCCTCAAATATGGGATATTTCCCCTTCTCTTGTCTCTCATTCCTCCCACCTGTACAGAGCCCAGAGAAAGGCAAACTGAGGGACAAGTCAGTGGGTTATGTGCTCTGAAATCCTCGGTGCTGTTCCTTCTCCAGAGCGTCACTTGGCTGTATCCGAAGTGGAATCACAGGAGCAGAGCTCTGTGTGTCTGTGTGCGTGTGCCAGGAGCTGATCAGCTGCAGTGGCTGCTGCTTTGTGTGTGTGTGTGTGTGTGTTTGCCAGGGTGTGTATGTGTGTGTTTGTGTGTCTAAGGTTGGGTGCTTAAATGCTTTGTTGCATTATGTTAATTCCTCGGCAGTGCAATCAAATTCATGTCGTAATTAAAGCTGTCAGTTGGAAGGCAAGCCAATCGCCAAGAAAACACAGCATAACAAATGAAGTGAAATGATTCTGCGTGTAGCTATACAATGCTTCGCCAGGCATGAAATTAAATAAGTAATTTGATGTTGACATCAGAAATTGAAATGATACCCACTGTTCCTTCATTCAGTCAGACCTGCATAAACAATAGCCAGAACAAATATGTACAACACAGTCTTTCTCCCCACCCAGCTCCCCAAGTAATGCACAATATATATGCAAAATGGGTATAACTGTGCCTTCCAAGACCTCAAGGATGTAATTTTCTTTGGTACACAATAAACTAATGCTTACACAAGGGTTACTACATTTTTGCTTCTGGGCCAAAGTTCTTCTCTCTAAGAAAGGAAGGAAACAAAACAAAACAAAAATTTAAAAAAAAAAGAAAACAAAAAAAAAAGAAAACAAAAAAACCCAGAAGGAAAATAACAAAACCAAAACCATGTTAATTTTAAGCAAGTGTGTTTTGCTGATGGGCACCTAATGCAGGCTTCTGCTGGTGGTTGTGTGAATATCAAGTAGTATATCTGATGTCCTATTTTGCAAAGGGTTTCGGAAAGTGAAACCATTACCTCTATTATAGGCACACTTTATATAAGAGATGTAGAACCATCCAGTGCAGGATCTCGACTCAGCATGGGCTTGTAAAGATGCTTGTGCAGTTGGTACCCAGGCTGGGCACTGGGTAGTGGGATCCTTTCGCTATTGGGAGTTACCCAAAAGGTGAGAAGTTGTCTCTTGCATAGCCCTCGCTTCAGCCTTTGTGCTCTGTCAACACACAGTTCACACACAGCTGATAGTCATCCATGCATGTGCAGCACAGTCTTTTGTACTTCAATTAAAAAGAGTTTGCAAACTGTACTCTCCATATGCAGCATGCAATGTGTGAAGGGCTATATTTCCATCCAGCAAACTCAAATTCCCTGAAAATGCACAGTTGTTCAGTGAAAGTCATTTGACTGCTATGTTTCGACTGTCCTCCCATAGCCATTGCAACATTGCTTTTGAAGGAATGAAAATATTCAGTGGGAAATATTTTGTTTGCTTATTCTTTTTTTCTTCCATTTTATTGTTTTGTTTTGATACTTGATCCTTCCAAAACTTGGAATAGAAAGCAGACAAAAATTACACACAGATGCAGAAGGCAAACTTTGGAGCTTTCAGCCAGTAAAGTAAGTTTTAAAAATTGTGAGTGAAAGAGTGGGACTCGCTTGGCATCTGTACATAGCTGAAACAAAAGTGGTTATAATGATTGCACGTGTTGTACTTGTGGGCAGATCTCTCTAGCTTAAATTAAAAGAATGAAAAATGGCATGAAGCAGAAAGCAGGCTGAGTGAGGAGCAAGGCAGGCTTTGTGGTGTGCTCTGCCAGGAACGTGGATGTGTTTGATACTGGAGTGTGCTGCACTGCACGCACTGCCAGGGGCTGCAGAGCTGCACCAGGGGGGCACAGGCTCCCAGATCCAGGGTCTGGTGGCCCATGGAGGGCACTTCCCAGCTGGGAACAGCGGTCAGGCTGGGCAGTGACCAGGGCTGTGGTGGTGAGCAGGTTATTCCCAGCACAGAGAACGGTCCCAGCGACACTGAGGAAAGCAGAGCAGTTGAGCTGAGCCCTGGGGCCTCATGGCCTTGTGTTCCCAGATCTGCAGTGCCCATTCTGGAGCAGAGGCACTGTCAGGGGCATTGCCACCAGGCCAGGTGGGCCTTGCTGTGGATGATGGTGGTAGAGAGAACATCAGAGAATGGTGGCTCCAGAACAGCAAGAGTGGGGACAGGAGGACTTTGGAATTTCTTTGTTTCTGTGGAGCTCCCCTTGCAGGCTGATAACCAGACCTGTACACTGCAGATCTGCATTGGGGTCCCCTGCAGAAGTGTCTCAGAACAGGGATGAAATGATGACAATTCTTGGTCTTTCCAGTGGTTTTCCTGGGCTGGTTGGGCCCCTCTGCAGTTCCTGGTTATCCCTGAGCTGTGGCATTACTGCAAGTGAGCTTGTGCTGAGGAACAGAAATGGGAATTGAGCTACAGGAGTTACAGACTGGTTGTCTCAGTGCTCACTAGAGAATGGTCCTCTGCTTTTTGCTTCCTTGTCCATCGACTCTCCGGGCAGGAGCGCTGTCAAATGTTCACCCACCCTGCAGTGGAACAGGCAGTGACCTGGATTAGGACTGAGATGTTTCGGTCTCTCCCTGTGTCTCTAAGAGAACCTGCTGTGTAATCCCCATTGCTTAGATGAAAAACTAATGAAACAAAACCCTTTATCTCCTTAATTCCTGTGAATGTAGAGGTTGTGATCGTGCCCCACTTAAACTGAATTTCATGATGGTTTTTTGTTTAAACCATTTGATTATTTCCCATGGTAATAATATCAGTTTCACTTATTTTTATGAGTCTGAGTTTTGAAATCTCTTTCACACTGTAAATGTTTACTGCTTGTGTTTTTCTTTTCTTTCTAAGTCCTTGGTTTGTCAAACAGTGTGGACATCCAAATGGGAAATTGTAGTGTCTGCATTCTCCAGAAAACGGCACATTGACTGAAGCGGCTTCTCTGTGCCCACGCGTTCTTTACATTTCAGACTACTAATTATGTTTACAAAATGTCTCATTTTAGAAAAGCACTATGTGTGTACTAACCAGGGCCTTTCGGGAATAAATTGGCAAACAGGTCATACACTGAAAAAGTCATCCAAACCCACCGGGCTTTTTGTTTTGAAGTCTGTCTACTTTTTTTTTCCCTTCTCCCCCTCCCGCCTGCCCCTTTGTGGCCACGAAGCTGAGTAGCTGGAGTCCAGGGCATTGAATGTCAGCATGTCAGGGAGGCTGGTTGATGAGTGTCTGTTTAGTCTCAGTGCAGGGCGAAATGCCATCATTAATTCATTACCCAGCTGCCTGTCAAATAAATTGGCAATTACGTCGACCGCAGAAGCTTGGAATTCAGTAAATAGCACGTTACCATCTCAGAGTCGTTGAGAGATGTAAAGGGAAAAATTAAGCAACAGCGTGTTTGTTTCAGTAGCAGATGACAAGGGGCAGCACATTGGTGCTGTGATGTAGTGATGAAAAGCTTGGAAAGGCCTGGTAATGAGCTGTGTGGATTGGAACGTGTTAAAAACCGTCACTGACTTTCCACTTTGTCTTTGTGTTTTATTGCAGAGCTCAGCTCCTTCCAGCTTGGGAACAGGCTACTTTGTAAGTGTATCTCAACTTTCACACATGTGCCTCTGAACAGCGTAGCTTCCTCCTCAGACAAAAGTGCCTTAGTGTGTGCCAATAGGACTAAGCCACCAGCCCCACTCTGGCCCATAACTTAACGTACCTTTGTTATTTCTTCCTCCACAAATGCACTGGAAGTAAGATTTCCAACACGGTGGCCAGTGTTTTCCTGAGCTAATTAATTACTACATAAATTCCAGCAGTATTTAATTTGCACAATTAGAGCAAATAAAATGAACCATGGTCTTACCAGCTCTCTAATCTGAGATGGCAGGATCTTGATTTCCCCTTGTAGCAATTCTTGTTGATTCGTGGATTTCAAGGAGCCCATTACACCAGTCTTGCCTCATCTCCTTGTACCACAGGCCTGAGAATGGGACACAGTGATTTCTACCTGTTGCTTAAAAGCCCCCTGTCTCATGGACACTCTTGGGATTTGCAGCTGTACTTGTATTTATGCCATATTTACATTTTATGTCCTGAAAAGTGGATCAGGCACCAGTTGGTTTGAAAATTTTTGGGGGGTTGTGATTTATTTGCATGCCCCCATTGATTTAACAGTCTATATACCTTTCTATCTGTTTATTCCCCCATTCATCAATATACCTTTTACTTGCACAGATAAGTTTGGCGGTAAAAAAATGTTTTCCAGTCAATCCAATGCACTGTTTATTTTCTTCCAAGATTTGTATTTAAATTGCTTATACCCCGTTTCACTTGTAACTTATGCTGTATCCTCAAAGCACATCTCTTCTGCCTTTATAAAGCTGTAAGGGAAGCAGAGCATTATGAATGTCCAAAACCAGGTGGGTAAAATGCAGTGAGCCTTGTCCTACGTTGCTCTGTGAGGTTAACAGCGTAATCAAAGCCTGTTTCTATCTTTTCATCACACTCTGGGGAAAATGAAACGATATGGTATTCAATTACACCATGGAAAAACTTTGTTGCTCTCTTGTCAGATTCCCAGAGAGTAATTTTCTTCTATTAGTACATGGTGAATTTAGTCTTTTGTCATAGAGGTCGATGATCCTGTAAGAAAGTTATGTGATTAGACTGTGTACGTGTGACCTCACCTGCAAAGCATAAAATGCAAGCACAAAAATTGCTTAGTACCTGGAGAAATGCTGTGTCCTGCTGGATTTACCTTGGACTTGTGCACCAATGGAATATTCACAGTGCTGGTGAGGAGGTGTGACCAGAGCAGCACCAATTGAAAAAGCTTGGTGGTCGTTGTTCTAATTAAACCAAAGCCCAGATCACTGTAAGGTAAGTTGTGAAACAGAAAAACAAAACCGCTTTCCTTGTTTTCAGCAGTTTCCCTGGTTTGTGTCACTTGTATTTTTAAGAGGGAGGGGATGAATGGAAAAAAATGGTATCAAATGGCTCAACATTTATTTTGCATTAAAGCTAGAACTCGAGTGTCTTTCCATACTTCAGAGGGAATTGCTTTCCTTTGTCTGGGAAAATTCAAATCATATGAACATATATAGACATGCTCTGGAATGGGACAAATATAATATGGGCTGGAGGGCTGAAACATATATATGTATATATAAATAAGCCTTGTTCTCCTTGCAGCGAGAGCTGAATATGCATGGTTTGAGAGCGGTGCTCAGCTTCCTCTTTAGGCAGCAGAGGTAACAGAAGACAAGCCATCTGCTGTTCCCTGCACCATACTGTCTGTGGGTTGGTCCAGTAAAGTGAAAATCTGGAAGGTGTCAACATCCCCTATGCTCCAACGGAGAGCTTGAAAGTTTCCAGCTCTCCCGAGTGAGGGATTTAGTAACAAGAAGAAGCTTGACATCTTCAGGGCCAATGTATTGGCACTTCAAATCATTCTAATTTGGATCTGTGTTGGTGGGGGAGACATCCCTTGTTAGGTGCCATTAATACATTTAACTGTGCTGTTTCTTGTCTCTACTCACAGTATTCAGATTTCTTTAACTTCCTTTTTCTTTCTTCACTAATAGCCAAGAAGGTAGAAAATGTCCTTCAGTGTCTATCTTAAAGCTGTTTTTACACTTACACGGTCTTGGAGGAAACATGGAGGGTTTTTTCCTCCCTTTTCACTTTGGAAAAATTGTTTTTAGGATTATCTTGCTTATTTTTTTAAAGAAGTCAGTACCCTTATTAACTTACATGGGGCAAATAAAACCCAGATGTGTTTTGCGGTACCAGACAATGAGAAAAATGCTCCAGAATGATCCAATTAGCATGTGTTTCTGATAAATGTAATTATTGCACTATCAAAGTGCAAAAGAATATGCACTTGAATTGACTTCTTTTTTCCAAGGCTTTTAACTAGAACAGACTGTTAGTTTTTGTGTTTAGTGTTAACCCGGAACATCAAAACAGGGGTCACCGGTCCCAAAGAAAGAAAAAATAACTTCTAGTTGAACAGATAATAACAAAGCTTTTGCCTTTGGAAATTATCCCACTTGTGATGTACATTGGACTATGAAATATTCTGTATGTACTGCAGCTCACCAAAGGAAACAAAGGAACCAGGTAAGTTAATGATGGACATCTCCTGCACATGGAAGCAGGTTTTATTCAGGAACGAGTGAACACTGAGGTACCGATTAAGTGCCATTTATTTGCTGTTTAAATCCAAGTATTAATGGACTCTTTGTGTGTTTAGGCCATGTTACGTAGCACAGAGATAACATTTGTTCAACTTGGAATCTGTTTTGAGAACCATGCTTTTGTCAGGCACGCAGGTTTGAGGGGTGGTGGGTCATGTGTCTACGATGTTTGTGGATGCTGTGCATGTTACAGCAAAGCTGAAATGCCTTTTGGATCCTAATAGTCTGTAGAGAGTCTCCTGAGATCACTGTGTTTTAGGAAACATTTATAAAGCTGACACTTCCCAGTAACACAAAATCGTTTCTCTGATATCTCTACGATAGCTCCATCCTAGGAATTCATTATGCACTTTCAGTGGTGGTGAAGGCTGAAATCTTACCTGATTATATACAATAAGTAGGTAACTTTCTGAATGGCAGAGTTGGAGAGTGAATTCTGTGAATTGGCTCTATGTTAGTGCTCCTTGAAAAGCAGGAGGTAAAGTTAAAATGCACGTGCTCTGGGGAGGGCGTTCCCACAGCCTGCTTCGACACCCCACCTTCCCCAGGAAGGCAGTGGAGCGGGTTGGGAGTCTCCATCAGGTGATTCAGCCTAACCCACCCCCAGCTGGGGTGATGGAACTGCCACTGAGTAAACAGACTTTGTAGTGAGATGCCTTCAGCAAAGGGGACAGGAGGAGTGACCACTGGTGGAGTGTTAATGGTGCAGGGCTGTCAGGGAGTTCTAAATACCCCAGCAAGTTTGGTCTTCAGTAAGGAACCACCCTCTTTTACTTCTTTCACAAGTGTTGGTGTGTTCAGCAGATTTTGTTGAATAGACATTTTTGTTGTTGCTGGAATCTGTTTCCTCTGTCTCGGTGCTCCTTGTCACAGGAGACACTTTCCCCATCCCATATTATTAGGTCTGTAGTCAGAAAAGAAGAGACACAGGTAAAAATCAATCTAATTCTCCCATGTCTTTTGCCTCAACTGCAGCATCTCTGTTCTGAGTTTCCTCTTCCCAAGCCACTTGTGTTACAGAACTCCAACTGGCCTGACTTTACTGTTTGCTCTGGGATCAGTCCAGTCTATGACTCGTGTATATGAAAAAAAATCCAGACATGCTGTTAATATTGGTGCACCCTAAGAAATCATAACTGAATACTTCCTGGGAAATCTCCCAGTTGTCTTTGATATTTTTTGCATTGCAAATTGTCATTGTCTCTCATCAAAGGCAGACTATAAGGTAGATTACGTCTCATCAAGAAGTCAGATCAGACAATTGGAAATTAGAAACTAGAATTTTAGAGAAAAATCACAATCTTTTTAGCTTTAAAGGAAAAGCTATTTGAATTATGTGAGTTTGTAATGTTGTCCAGCTGCCTTAAGATTTCCGGGGGTTGAGATGCTTTAGAATATGATTGGAATTTGTATAACAGTAAAGCTTTTTCTCTTATCTGGCTTTGAAGAATTATTTTTGCTCATTTATGTATCTTCCACCCAGCCAAATTCGCATTGAAAGATAGAGTGGTTCATTGGTTTGCAACACAAAACAGAGAAGAAATCAAAACCTAAATAACTGAGTGTTTTCCTTCTAAACAACAAACCCTATTCTGAAGACTGTCAAGTTCTTTGACAATTGCAGAGTTTCCCTGTTTATGGCAACTTATCTCCATTTCCTGCACGGGTCTGCTTCTTGAGTCTTTGTGGCAATTTCTGAGGGTTTTCTGTTCCTTTTTGTAATGCTTATTTTTGGTTAGCAGGTTGCTGCCTTTTTTTTTTTTTTTTTTTTTCCCCTCTCCCAAATGCAGAGAGTTTGTGGATTTTTCAAAACTAGATAAAATTTTTTAATGAGCTGGCGATGGAAACAATATTGGGAAGGCAGAGTAAGACTCCTGTGACCCTTCTTTTCCAAACAATGCTCTTGCTCCACCTTAAAAAAAAAAGAAAGAAAAACTAAAACTGTGCTTTGCACATGGGCTGGTGACTCAGACTAACATAAATCGTGCACATATTCCCAGAGGCTCTGGCTAATCAGTTGTGCTGTGCAGCCTGGCCCTGGGTGGGTTCAGCTCAGCAGATGTTTGTGTGGTTACAGCAGCCACTGGGACACGGGGTTGTGCAATGTTGCATTACATTACTCAGAGCTCTAAAAACTCGTCCCAAGGAGAATAAGGGGTGTTTAGTATGGAGATGATGGAAAACCCATGTTTGGCCTAGAAAAGGGCAGATATTGCCCCGTGCAATAGGGGCATTTTCACCCCAGACATTGCCTTACAGAACAAATGTGGAATTAGTTACACCAGCACATTCAAAGAGTAGATTTACCCTCCTTGCCTGGTCCACGTGCCCTGGCAGTGGTCCTGAGGAGCCTGTGCTTTGTCCCTTGGGGTGGTCAGGTTTGTGGGGCTG